TTTTCTCAGATGATTTAGCCTCCAGGTCTTGTGATTAGAAATTTTATCGGAGTGCAAGTTGTATTGATCCTGTCATGTTTCTTTAATTATTTAGTGTATTTTGGAATTACCTGATTGATTGATAGAGGAAGAGCAAAGCTCTACCGAGGAATTTTTGCAAGCATGTTAGAGTAGGTGGAGCGTGCATAGGTTGTATGTATAACTGTTTTGGGAATTGCCTGTTGTTTTGCATGGCAGGCAAATGCACGAATTTGTGTCCTTGAGGTGTGCTTATTCCTTCCTATTATGGGCTTACATTGGGATTCGTTCTTTTCCTACCATAGTAGATATAAAAATTTGATATTGATTGATAACGCGTGTTAGCCTTTTCTGTTATGATAACACATGATTGGTTGAAAACTCTTTTACCATAGTAGAGTTCATGTTGGATAGTTATAAGATGATAGAATTTTGATTGATTCTTTTATACGAAGATAGTAGTATTAGGGATATACTTTTTTTAGTAGGAAGATTGTCTAAGTATTGCAGTGAGGGTGTTTCAAATCACAATTATATCACAACCAATACCAATTGTAAGGATGAGATTGAGGAACGGTGGTTGCAATTATGAGCCGATGAAACCTATTTTTGTAAATGTTTTGGTTTGTGAAAATACATTGCTTCAGATTATATAGAGGATGGGGCTTATAAAATTTTAGAGTCGATAATTCAGGTGAGTCAGGTTTATTTGGGTCGGGTTTATTCGGATTGAGCTTATAGTATTCTATTCCTTCCAAAAAATCTATATAGCCAAATTTGGTTCTAACATCTTTGAGTTTCGGGTTTATTCAGGCTAGTTCAAATACTTAAAACTTTTTAAAAGTATTTTTCTTTATTTTTTAAATCAATTTAAATTTTTAAATAATTTTATTAAATGTAAAATATTATTTTAACTTTAAAAGAATAAAATAAAAAATACCTTATCAATTTTGTACTTAAGTAACTCTATTATTATTTTGTTATATTATATGTAATTTATTTATGAATTTTTTTTACTTGTAAATTAATGTCTTAATTGTTTAAATTTTGTTTTTATCAAAGTCATATATAAATATTTTATATATTTTAATTAAATTAAATTATTTTAATTATGATTAAGTTGATTTCACTTCAATCAATTAGACTATTAACTTAAAATTATTATTTTAATTAGTTTAAAGTTTTTAATAATTTTTAGATAAATTGTACGTTTTATTTTTATGAATGTAAGAAAAATAATCATCATTATATTATATAAAAGATTATTTAATTATGAGTAAAATATTTTTTTTGAAATTGTTTTTCTTTAATTTTTTATATTGTTTGACTCTTATGTATAAAGAATTTTTATTCTAGTTTACTCTTAATTTTTAATCAAGTCTAGCATGGATAATAAATAAGTAATTATTTAAGAATATTATTTTATTTATTATGTTTATCTAGCAGCAGAGTCGGGAATTTATACATGTCCAAATTTTATTTTTACTTTAAAATTAATTATCTTAATTTATAAAAAATATAAAATTAATTTTTTTATATGCAAATAATTTATAAGACTTGAATTTTTTTAAAAAAAATTGGGTCTTAAAATATAAAAATTAATATTAAAATATATTTTAAATATTATTTTGAGATATTTTATTGATTAAAAATAATAAAAATATGAAATATAACTATTTTTATTTTTTTAAAAAATAATTATATGAAAACACTCAAATATATTTTTTGATATAAAATGATATAAAACTTAAAAAATTAATTAATATTTTTCATATTTAAATATTTTTAAAAAATTATTTTTTTATTCAGGTATTCAGGCCAAGCTCGAACCCCATCGAGCTTGGCCTGAATTTTCTCGGGCCTATTCAGGCCACTTGAATAGACCCAAATAATAAAAAAATTAATATTCTTTTCGGGCTTGGTCCTAAATTTTTTGGACGAGTTCGGGCTACTCCATCGGGCTAGGCCCAAATTACCGATTCTATAAAATTCTTACTTCAAACAATTTATTGGTGGAATTTAAAAATATTTCTACACTTAAATAAAATTACATTTATGATATTTTTCTGAATAGTGAGGAACTGTGGATTTTCTCAGTAGCAAGATATGTTCATTTGTACATTTAATTACACATTAAACTTATGATTATAATCAACAGGCATTCTACAACTGAGCATTCCACTTCTTGGCCTCTTTTTCATATAAAGGATTAAGTTGATTGAAGTTGAAAATCTTATAAATTTATGCCATAAGTATTGCCATATATAAATTACTTACATCTGGTTTAAATATTCAATTTTACACATTTTCAATGATAATTGTGAAAGTTTGTTCTCTGAATACTCCCTGACAACGGTGACATTTGAAGCTGCTTATCCGTGTCACTCGCAGGAGTTATGAGAATTGTAGATGCTGGAGTTGGTATTGCGAACATCTCTTTAATTTGAATTATTCCTTGCAAATGCTAGAGGTTAGGGATACCTCGTCTAAGCCTGAAGTTGCATGTTTGATTGTGGAAGGCACTAGCTGTCCATTTCAATTTCCTGTTTCGTTCCTCTTCGATGTCACACCTCATTGTAATTGGTCAAGGTTATATTATTGAGAAGCTTCTATGTTTTTAAACCTTTTGAAGTTGGTTCGTGGAAAGTGATTGGATCCTCTTCTGCAATTGTAAAAGCTACTTAGATTATTTATTGGTAGTGAACTTTTATAAATTTATTTAGTGACAGTAACTCAACCATGATAGTATTGTGAAACTTGTGAGTTGCACATTGCATCTAGTGATAGACAAGCTCAATTGTACTCATCATTTATTAAAAATAATAATGCTCTCTTTTTATTTCATGAGATGATTGGAGGGTGAAAACATGTAGTGAATACAATACCTAATAATTTTCCATGTGATTAAATATCTTCATTTAGTCACACATAGTTTCAACCGTTGTTAGGGGTTTATTTGTAAATGCTTAAATTTCTTTCTTTCTCATGTCCATAGTCAAGCTAATTTTGTTTGATACAAGCTGGAAACTTTTAGTTAACATTTTTGAAAGAAAGATGTAAATAAATTAACCTACATATTGAATAAAAATTGAGGGAAAATTAAATATAAACTCGGCGATCAATTGGAAAACATAGAAATTGCAAATTTTATATTTAAATTATTATTTATTTCATCGCAAAGGTCACCATAAAAAATTAATGGTAGAGTTGAACTGGCCACTTAATTATAAATTATATGAGAAAATAATGATTAAGTAAAATCTATTCATCACACATAGTTCACGTCTACTCGATTAATGAAAGATTGAATTCTATAAGATTTAAATTTGATCAGGGAAAAATAAAAATTGATCAATAATTTATTTATTTTATAATTTCCAAATTTGATATTTCAATTACCATTTATTTATAGAAAAATCAAAGAAAAACTCTGTCATTTTATAATCACTCGTACATCTTTCAAAATTTTAATAATAGTAACAAAAGATTCATCATTATAATTAATATATACACACATGTATATGTAAGAAAAGTTAATTTTGATGTATTTCCTGCAATGCTATGCTTTGGGATACTTTTCCTATAATTTATTTAGGGTTAGTAAGCAAATAAGACCTTAAACTCTTGCTTAAAAATTGCACTAGATTCTAAACTCTTAAAATATGTAAAATAAACTCTAGACTTCAAATTTATAGCAAAATAAACTCTTACTGTTAACTTTTTTTAATAACGTTACTGTCCACACGAATACTATAACAACTAGAGTTAAATTTGTAAGAAAATAAACTTCAAACAGTACTTGTGTTGACAATAACAATGTTAAAAAGTTAACGTTCATGGTTTATTTTACTATAAATTTAAAAGTTATAGGATTTATTTTACATATTTTAAGAGTTCAAGGTAATTTTTAAATAATAATTTAAAGTCTTATTTGCTTATTAACGCTTTATTTTATATGTATAAAATAAAGTATTTAGGTTTGGAGTTAGTCTTGCCTTAAACTTTTTGTACATATGGGATAATTGTTAACTTCTTATCCTAACAAGAAACATAAGATTTCTAACAACAAATAGGGGAGCATCTTTTGATACTTATTAGGATTTTGTAAATTGTATTATCTAAATTGATGATCAAATTGCTAGTAGAGTTAGTAAAGAATTTATGGATATTAAAATCTCAATAAAGCCTATTGTTGATACTTTTACAAATTTTTCTTAACAATGTTTATAATTTTTTATATTTTAAATATTGGTCTTTAATAGCTCCTCGATTAAAGTTGAAGAAGTAAATATGCATATGTTTTCCCCATTCCTTAACGAGAAAGTTGTATAATTGAACTTTAACAGTGTTATAAAAGATGATGAAAACATAAATTTACTTGATGATCTTTACTCTATAGATTTTTTAAATTTATTTTAATTGTTATTCTTCTTGGATCATAAAATAATATCTGAAGTGGGTCCTTCAATTATTTTAATATAAAATATTAATAAATCTATGAAGTTGTGTTATGGTATATATCTTATAATTACATGAATTGAAAAACATGTTTTGAAGCCTAAAAAATGTTTGGATCACATATTGTCGTATGTCCATCTAATTCCATGTTATTATTTATTATGAGGAGGCAATTTTTTATTATATTAGCCTTTAACATGATCATTAATAAAAGTTCGATTATATTTTTTATGCTTGTTTCATTCTATTTTCACTTACAATCAATTTTGTTTTGCTTTTTCTCATGTTCGGGATGGTTTAAAAATAGTGATTCTTGATTAGTTGCTCCACAATGTAATATATCATTTATTTTATTCTAATATGCAGATGTAATATCATTGACAAAAATTACACAACCCCGCTGCATCTGGATAGTATTGGGAAAGTCTCCGCTGCAAATTCTGTTGTATATGCGACTCGCAATGTAATTTACTAGTTTCTTGTTCAAAGTTTGTTCTTGCGGTATGCATAAAGTAGATAAATAATGCCTAACTTGCCGCCAAATTTCTCTCTCTCTCAATTCCAATCTCTGCAATGCTTCCTCTCCACCAGCTTCATGCTCCCACGGCCATTTCTTACACTCTCTCTAAAACCCTAAACCCCATTTTCACTATCCCCATCACTCATCCTCTCTTCCCTTCGACACTTCCTGTCCTTTCTCGGTCAAACTCCTCACTTTCTCACTGCGATTCCTGGTTTATCTCTCGCCGGAATTTTTCCCCCTCCACGCCGCCGTGTTGTGCCAGTGAATTCTCTGGCAGTAGCAGTACCGATTCTGAACAGGATGAAGAGGGGCGTGAGGAATTTGAGGACAGAGACGAAGAAGATTATTCTGACACGAACAATTATGATGTTGACGTCACCATGCTTGAGGAAGAAGCCAAGGACGCAGTGCGAGAGTACTCTAACTATCTGTCTCGCGTTTTGACTATTGGTGAGTGATTCCAACCCAAGTTGTTGAAATATGGCTTTTATTTGCATCCGAAAGGAATTTGTAAATTGTGCTCCGATTAAACCGGGAACAACAAGATGCCCGTCGTGTGTTCTCAGGAATCCTCACCCGTTGTGTTGCTTTTTTCCTTACATTAAATCGTCTTTGATGTTTATTGATTTCAGAAGATGAGAAGGACGACCCCAAAGAAACAGCTCGGAAGAGGATTAAAAGCAGAACAAGCAACGTAAGTTGGTATAACGTGCACAAATTGGTTAAAATGACAAATCAGATCGCCGAAAACTGACTAAACATTAAAATGTGGGAGAGACACGGGGATGATATGTTGCCTCTATCATGATGTGTATATGAAGTGTTTCATAAAATTTAAAAGAACTCGAGATACAACCAAAAAAAAAAAAAAAAATTTGAGTGACGATGTTGAAATAAACTAGGGCTACTTGCTAAACCTTGTTCCAACTTGACTGCAGGTCCCTGACAATCTTCTCCCAAGGGTTGCAATTGTTGGGAGGCCAAATGTTGGCAAATCAGCATTGTTTAATCGTCTTGTTGGGGTATTGAATGCTTGTTCTAGCTTTTGTTTTTCACCAGACTCGAGAATTTTCATGTCAAAGGAATAATATATTGAACTCCAGCTTTCATATCCTGACTCATTATGAAAGTTGTCCTCTTTCTTGCTAACTTCCAGGGAAACAAGGCCATTGTGGTGGATGAACCTGGGGTTACTAGGGATCGCTTATATGGTAGATCATTTTGGGGAGACCATGAATTCATGGTAGTGGACACAGGTGGAGTTCTCACTGTTTCAAAATCACAAGCTGGTGTTATGGAAGAGCTGGCTATTTCTACTACAGTTGGCATGGATGGTATTCCACTTGCTTCCAGAGAGGCAGCCGTTGCCAGGATGCCCTCAATGATTGAGAGACAGGCAGCTGCAGCTGTGGAAGAATCATCCGTTATTATTTTCCTGGTTGATGGCCAGGTATTGATTATATAAAGCATTTCGTGCTTTAACTTTCTCCTCTATAACTATATCTTACTTTTCTTTCCCTTTCATCTTTTCTGTTGATATTTGAATCAGAATCAGGTGTTGTTATTAACCATTGGCAACACCCCTGCATGGTGGGTTCAGCTTTGTAGAAATACTTTAAGTGTTTTGGTGTCTTTTGATTTTACCATTTGCAATGAGTTATATATGGTACTTCCCACTAGCATGACATGGTGGTAAACAAACAATGTTCAACATCAATTTTCTTTTTATACTTTTATAAGTATTATTTGATTGATTCATTATTTTTTATTTTTTGGTTAATTGATTAATTCATTTTGCTTGTCCAAACAATAAGCAAGACTTTCCATGACATGAACACTGATTGTACTGAACAGGCAGGCCTAATGGCAGCCGATGTGGAGATTTCTGATTGGTTACGTAAGAACTACTCCCATAAAAGTGTCATTCTTGCAGTTAACAAGTGCGAGTCTCCACGGAAAGGAATTATTCAGGCATCTGAGTTTTGGTCCCTCGGGTAAGCTGCCTTAAATTTCTTAGGTCATGTCTGAATGGGCATAAACCTCACTTTAACATGATGACGAGTTCATGACACTTAACCTATTTGATAAATCTGCACCTATTTTTGATTCTGTCTGGACATGCATATTTATGACTATATATTATATTTTGTTTTGATGTTGAAGTTATGGTTATGATATTAAATGTGCCTTATCCCTTATTGAGTTTGAATTGAGTGTTACTCCCTTAGTTTTTGACTCTATAGAGCTACTGTTTCCCTGTGTTACTATTTTCCAATCCCAGGGGCAATTAAAATAAGGCAAATGATTTCACCAGGCACAAGGCAGATGAAAACTGTTTAGTCCTTTTTTGCATGTGACCAAGACACCATATCGTCTTTCATGTTAATTAGAAAGCTTTATTTTTCGTTCTGTATCCTAATGACAATGGCCAATCAATTCAGAATCTCCCTTATCTCTGATTATTTTTAAATCTTTCTTATGTTAACCTTTTGGAAGTCATGAACGCATTTGCATCCCATTTGCCTTGTCTGGAAGAAAATTTAAGAGAATAGGAGGTAAACAAGATTCTTTCTTTGACAAGTACAAGGTCAAACCCCACATATTTAAGGAAAACTTTTTTTGGTGAAAGATGAGAATGTGGAATTCTTCAATCCTGTTGTTAATTTAGCAGATATGAAGTATGATGTATCCTTAAGTGTCTCAGTTTGTAGTTAACAGAATGGTTTCCATAATTGCTATTCAGGTTTGAACCAATTCCTGTGTCAGCTATATCAGGGACAGGAACTGGAGTGCTTCTTGACCTTGTATGTTCGGGGCTAGAGAAAATTGAGGTTTGTGTGCATCAAAAGTTGAGCATTCTTCTGATTGTTTTATTGGCAAAAAGATAAAATTAGGTGGTATTTGTGTCGTAAGCAAACTCCTCTGTGCAATCACCAATAATAAATCATTTCATTGACTTCAAAGCTCTCTTCGTCTTTACTGGTGCCTTGGCCACCATGCTACAGACATATTTTAATGTTGTTTTGGTAACTTGAGATTTTTAATTGATTATTATCATCAATGCTATTTATAGGAATCAGAAAATCTTGATGAAGAAGATTATGTTCCCGCAATATCAATTGTGGGTAGACCTAATGTTGGCAAAAGTAGTATTTTGAATGCATTAATGGGTGAGGACAGAACAATAGTCAGTCCCGTCAGTGGCACCACACGTGATGCTATAGATACTGAATTTACTGGAGCAGATGGCCAGGTTTCACTCTGGAATTTTTCTTTGATAACATCTTGATGATCTTGTTTAGCAATGCCATTCAGCATTGTTGATTTTCATGGTTTGATATTTGTGGGCCAAAACCACACTGAAATAGGTTTCATGTTCTGTTGTCATGACTGGGGGTCAGCTTGATTGAAATGTAAGGCTTATAGATTACATTGCTCTTTCTCCAGAAGTTTTGCCTTATTGATACGGCTGGAATCAGGAAAAGGGCAGCGGTAGCCTCAGCAGGCAGTGTGACAGAGGCTCTGTCAGTGAATCGAGCATTTCGTGCTATTCACCGTTCTGATGTTGTTGCTCTTGTCATTGAGGCTATGGCTTGTATCACAGAACAGGTACATTCTAGATACTCTTATGATTTCTGGTGCTTGAGTTCATCTCCTTGTGAGAAAGATTTTTTTTCTACCAATGCTTATCCACATATATTCAGTAAAAATTTCCAATTCCTTGTCAAACTCTGTAAATTGATGCCATGTTAATGGTGTCAAAAGTTGGTCAATCACTGGAGGAATTACTGCATATAGACCTTACAATAGAAAAGGCTGCTAGTTGTGTAAACTGTTCCATAATTCTTAAATTAGTTTTTCTAACAAACTTCATTTTGCATGTTTGTTCAAGGACTGCAAGATAGCTGAGAGGATAGAAAGAGAAGGGAAAGGTTGTGTGATAGTTGTGAACAAGTGGGATACGATACCAAATAAAAACCAGCAAACTGCAACATACTATGAAGAAGATGTCAGAGAGAAGCTCCGTTTACTTAACTGGGCTCCCATCGTCTATTCCACTGCAATAGCTGGTCAAAGTGTTGACAAGTATGTTCTGGCTTGAAAATTATTGACACATTTATGCTGCATGGTATACTAATATCGTTTTTGCTTTGAATCCCCTGATATTGCCTTCAACAATTGTGGCATCTGAGGGATTAATATGCAGTCAACTTGAATGTCTCATGGTGAAAGAGGCTGTATGTAGTATTGAAATTCATTTACCAGTTAATTTTTAGCCCCGTATTGATTTCATGCAGTTGTCGTATCACCTGGCCTTGGACAATTTTGATATACTGAATCATTCTTTTCCAATAACTTCTGGGAGTTTTTGGGCAATCACGCCTACCGGAATAAAGATGTGTTAAAGTCTGATAAATAACCTAGAGATGTGTTAGCTTCTTAGATTTAAACAAGAGAAGGGTGTCTAACTTTCAAAACCATTCAGTTTTTTATGTTTCGTTGCAGTTGATCCTTAGTGAATAGCTGATTGCTTGTTGTTCTGAATGAAGGATTATTGTAGCTGCTAGTGCAGTTGAAAAGGAGAGATCGAGACGACTTGGTACTTCTATTCTGAATCAAGTAGTGCGGGAAGCAGTGGCTTTTAAACCACCTCCCAGGACACGAGGGGGAAAAAGGGGGAGAATTTACTATTGCACTCAGGTATTTGTATCTTGCAGTTTTAATTGTACGTCTTCTGTCATTTTATGGTTCTTGTTTATTCACAGCTTTTAAGATTTTACTTTAGTGGAGAAAATATTATCAACCAAATAATTAGTGCATGAACTCCGTACTTGCCCTTCCTCTTGCAGGCTGCGATAAGGCCACCTGCATTTGTTTTCTTTGTGAATGATGCAAAACTTTTTCCCGAGACTTACCGCCGATATATGGAGAAGCAACTGCGTACAGATGCTGGTTTTTCAGGTACACCTATTCGGCTTCTGTGGCGTAGCAGAAGGAAAGCGGGAAAAGATGAAGGTCAGTGTTTATAGAATCAATATTTTTGTATGTCCTATTGACCTTGTGCATCTAATGTCCCTGAATGTAGTTAGAGGTTATCCCATTTGAAACTAAAGGATCAAAATCTTCAATTCCCGTGCTGAATTTACGGATTGTACCCTTCCATCTTCCATATCAGGAGAATTGTATTACCCTAAAAATTGTGCTAAAACTAAAAACACGCGCACACACAAATGTCTGTCTTCCTTGGCCAGAAAGGATAAATTCGTTAATTGATGATTTGCTTACAGGTAAAAATGAAACAAGAGTACAAGCAAACCTTTCATCACGCGATCGAAAATTGATATCATCTACACTGTAGGACCAGTCATGGCAGAAATGGCTTGGCTTTCTGTCTGTATTGAAAGAGAATGGGTCCATTTTGAGGGGTCACTGAATAGTGAATACTCGGTACAGCTAAGCGGCTTGCTTAGTGAAAGCTCGACAAGGACTTGATTAGTGCCCCAATTTTGGATAAGAATTTGGTCGTTCCTTTCAGGGAGGGATTTTGATGGTTTTGTAATTTGCATTATAAGCAACCCTTGAAGTTATACGGTTCCAGCGCATTCAGTGCAAATAGCTTCGTTGTAAATTTAGGCAAAAGAATTATAAAGAGGTCTTGAATAAAAAAATCAATTATTTTTTCGGTGTATTGACAAGTCAAATTTCTTTATTTACATGTTAAATTTTAGTATTGACAAGTACCTGAGATCTTTAATTAGCCCCTTTTTTAATCTGGGATTTATATGTCTCCTAAACTTGAAGCTTGTTTGATTACTGAAAAACAATAAAAAAAAAAAAACCTTTGAAAATATGAAAAACTAACATGCCAGAACTTTCCTTTTAATGTTTTGTTAACTTTTTTTTTTTTGTAAAACTAGAGAAGAGATTAAAAATATCATGTTTTCATTCAGAACAATTATGTTAATAAAATAATAATTCTTTTATTTTTTATTTCATTGCTTTAGATATATTTTTTAAAAAAATAAAAGTTAATCTTATCTTAATTTAAAATTAATTTTATTTTTCAACTTTAAAAAAATTTGCTGTTATGCCCTCGATGTTAGCTTGTATACTTTTTTCTATTATGTAAATCCTACATTTAAATTTTTTAATATTTTTTATTTTAAAATATTATATAGTGGATCTCACCTTATATATATATATATATATATTTTTTTATAATATAAAAATTGCTCTCTCCTCCATTCATCTCTGTGCGTCTCCATCTCTTTTTCAGTGACTGAACCCATGATCGTATTCCTCAGTGACTGAACTCCATGAAGATGAAGCATACCAGTAAAGAGGAGACAGCTTAATAGCCCGATGATGTAGGGGACGCATGAGAACTCCTCAACGACTGAACCCCATAAACATGAAGCATGCACGGGAGAAGCGTAAAGGGAAATTGAGGCAGCATTCTTGTTAACTTCCAGAACCGACATGGAAAGTAAACGAGTTAAGCCCTTGAACTGGTCGTGAACGTGAGAGAGAGAGGGAGAGAACTAATGAGGAGTGGTGGACAGAGGAAGTGAATGGAGGAGAGAGAAAGTGACTATGCAGAGCTTCCAAAGGACTTGCAAGTCGAGCATCTCCATCCTCCTAGGATCTACACCATCGGCCATCTTTAATTAGCCTTGATGAGTTGCGTGGTTTCTCCATTCCTCTCTCTCCTTCATTTCCTCTCTCTATTCCCATCAACAATAACTCGAGTGACTCCTCGATCCTATCTTAGCACCCTCAACCAAGACTCCTGCATAGACAATTTATTCTCTACAACAAGCAAGGTTGCAACGATGATAGAGGAGAAGTTGGTGAAGGAGAAGAAGTGTCAGTGCGAGAATTGTAATTCGCCTTCGTCACCTCCGCCACACCATGTACGTTCTTCTAGAAACTGAACATCGCACAAATTGCACAAATCTCTAACGGTGTAAGTTACAAATATGGAGGAAGGAGACAATGCTGAAGCTTCAATTGGTAAAGGAGCTTTCAAAGGTGCAGAAATTTTGCAATTTTGCCAAAGAGAGGGAGAGAGGCAAGAGAGGAGGAGAAAAATATTAAAAAAAAATTGGTGGAACCACTTAAATATTTTACAATTAAAAGCCTTTTAGAATTCAATTATAAGCCCAGTAACAAAGAAAAAGAACAGCAAAAACGGGAGGATGAAAAAAATAAAATTACAGAGGTTGAAAGACAAAATTAACTTAAGTTAGGTTTAAAATTATTTATGAACTTTCATGACTAGTTTAAAAAAAAAATTGACCGTTAATTTTTTTTAAAATAATGATTCAAACAAATTGTTTTCATTCTTTGTTTTCAAAGGTTACTCTAAAAAATTACTTGATAGAATTGGTTCAAGAATATAAGACTACAAGAATATAATACGGTTTTTTCCCTGAATAATTTCGCTTATAGTGTGCTAGTCTATAATCATCGAAGGGTACTTCCCTGCAGAGAAATAATCCGTACATCTACAAGAACTTACCCGTCTTTAACTGACTCTAGTTCTACCCTCTAGCACCACCAATACTGAAGTGAGGCTTGGAGGGAAATACAAAAACAGAACTCGATGAATTTGCAGGCTGAAATGCTCCTGAATATCTCACCGAACTCATCGAGATTTTAGGTAGCTGTAGATTGCCAGAGGCAAGTGGCACCAGCTTATAGCTGAGAATGTGCTCTGATTTTGGAACAACAAATATAGTGTCATTGTGAGACCCAGATAACACAAAATTTTGTGCATCCCCCAGCGAGTATTTGATTTCTTGTAGTAACTGTGTCTGGTTCAATATTTTAACACGGTACGTGAAGGGATCTCCCAGGATGGCATAAGGAGGGCACTCCAAACTCACAATCAATGGCGGTAACTCCACAATTATATCTGGCAGCTTCTGCTTAGTCACTACCCAGGGTAGTGTCTGTGTAGACCTAGATTGCTCTTCTAGCCCCAAGTCTCTCCTCCATCTCAAACACACATTTCCTGGTGTGATCTTTGAGATATTCATGTTGGGAGTGACTGTGAATACCTTCTTGAACTCTTCCCCAGGAACAAGAACAGAGGAGTTTGGCTGTTCCGAATTTCCATCTTGAACAGAGAATTTACTTTCAATAGCATCATCATCTTCTGGTTCTATAGTAATGGATTGTAGTTGTATTGGCACCTCCACACAATTCTTTGCACTAACAATGAGCACTGTTTTCTCATTCAGAGGTAGTGATTCTGATTCTGATTGATCAGACTCTAAACTTGTTTTTTTCCTCGAGAGTAACAAGGGGTCCCTTCTGAAAGGCATCAAATAATGATGGCTAAGAACAACCGCGGCGTGTCCTTCAATTTGCAAATTCTTGTGGACATGAACCTTTTGAGAATTCAATTCATCACTATATGGCGTATAGCTCAAAGATGCATAAAGCATGATAGGTTTAGGCCTGTGCCACTTGATTTCTAATTTGCAAATCCAGGAATCTCCGCTTTTGAGGAACGGAACAGAAATTAATCCAAATGATTGTTGTATTTTCTTTATTTGGTCAGAGCCCAATTGAAATTCATTTTCCCCTTCTTGTCCAGTTATGCCAAGTAGCTCAACATGATGAGTCTCCATAGAATATGGTTCAGATTCTCTTGGACTAAACAGGCCACCTCCCCTCACATCCACAAGATTGATCTTCAACTCACCGGAGTAGACATCATGTCCCAAGGAGTTCACGGTTACAGGTACTATGAAAATCTCTCCCACTAATGCGGGACCAGAAGCACCAAGATATAGATCTACATGTGGGTCTGGTTCTTCAACTTGAGATGATTTTAGACCAGAGAATGCAAGGATAGGATCTTTTATTGGAAGGGTTTCTATACTCTCTTCTGTTGTGCAGAGAGCCAACCTATCCAGAGAAGCAGGGCTTTCAGCCATACAGCAAATTGTGAAGTGCGACCCAATTTTTGCAATGACAGATAAGCATTCAAGTTTTCCACTTTGATCTGGCAGAAGAAGAACCACACAACTGTCTCAGATCAAATTCAGCTAAAGCAGTCAGAGTGAAAACAATAATGCTAGAAGAACATGCTTCAATGTGAATATGAAATACACATACAGCATACTTTTAAACACAACTTGCGAAAATGAAATGAAAAATATGCATTACAAACAATCTTAACAGACAATTAGAGCAATGTGAACTGTTTAAAGAATAGTATCTCATTTACCAGATTTGATGTCATATGTCAACCTTAGCCATTTGTTCGAAGCTAATGACAAAGAAGGTGAAATTTCCATTCTTCTCTGCTGAACACCACTAATTTTGATTGAGTGAGGTTTTTGGGCATTTGCTATGGTAAAGTTGCACTCAGATTGATTGAACTGGATATCCAATTGATCTATGTCAACAGGAAGGGGTAACTTGGAAAGAAGTGATATTGTGATCAAGGTTGATGACCCAGGCTTGATTGTCTGCTCATGGAAAGCAATGGAAGCAAGCAGCACCAACCTAAGGGGGCTGACGAGATCAACATCAAGATGAAGTGCTTTATCTCCAGTTATTTTGAGACTACTGAAGCGTTCATTTGATGGCAATCCCGATCCTTCATTTACAAACTCAAACACCTCCTTCTGTATAATTTCTCTTTGCAGGAGATTTGCAGGACCAGCTGGACCAGTGTCCCTCTGGACACCTGTATCAAATGACAATGGCAGTGCAGCCAGTTCAAGGGAATACTCCACAAATTCTTTAACATTGCCATTTTTTATCGAGCACTCTCGTAAGTAACCCAAGACAATCCATAATAAAGTTACCCACCCTTCTTTTCTGTACAGGGTTGCAATACTATTAAAAATCTGCATTGCATTACTAATATCACCTTCAGCAAAATATTCTTTGGCCATAAGGAACCCACAATAGGAACCCATCCTCTGAACTTTAAGACTATTGTAAGATTCATAAGCTTTTTTAAGAAGAGCAATAATCTCAAATGAATCTTGAAACCTTTTTCCTTCAGAAACAGCATAGCGCATGTATTCTTCATCAGAAAGACTGCAAATAAAAATTAAAAACTTCACAAAAGATATAGATCAGAATAAGAACTTGTTAACCACTTAATCAAGACTTACGGTAGCATATCAACATTATCCCCATGCTCAAGTAACCTAGCAAACTGACCCACATAAACTGAAGGGACCACTGATTCAGAAGTACTATCAATCTCACTAGAAGCTTCCGACATTGAAACTGCAAGTTCCAAAGCTGACCTCTTCTCGCTTAAGTATTGGGCTGCTAACTGTTTCAGAAAGATGAATTGTAGTTGATTATACCCTGAACAAGAGTGGTCCAAGAACCACGAGAACTAACTTACAAAGCACCTTTTTCAAACACAGAAAGAGATATTTATGGAAAGAAACCCATTCACAAAGCTAATTTATGCACACACTTTCATGACTAAAGGGAGTTTCTTTCTCAGCTGACACTAGCTGCCAAGGAAGAAATGAGATGCCATGACTAAAACAAGCTGCAAAACAATGAGGAAAAAGATTGGTATCTCTAATCCACCAGAAGCACGTTATCAAATCTCTAGTTACACAGATTTATGGATTTTAGGAAAATAAAACCAGAATTATGTTGTTCCACTACAGTGTAGTTAACTCATTAGACTATTTATGTCTTTAATTTATGCTTCATATTTATAGTATCAAGGCCATAAAAAACCAATGACATTTTAAGAGGAGAATTTAAATTTTTTCAGTAAACACGTGATTATTCATAGTCTAGATGCATTACCACATTTTCATCCAGATTTTCCACACCCTAATTCTCACTCCTGCCAAGCACACCCTAAATGGAGCCTCGTAAATCAAGTTAGACGGCTACCAAAGTGTAAAAATTGTTAGCAACATATCTATACCCCTGTTAAAATTTCCATTAAAATAAAAGGTCATATTCTTTCCATTCTGAATACTGTTTAAGTATTTTAGTAGCATCACTCTGATACAACCATCAGGCAAAGATTTTACAGGTGTATTATTTAATTTCACATATTAAATTCCTCACTATAATCGAAACCCACATACCAACATACCATTTTATGAAACCAGTAATTTCAAGCTTTTATCTTGGATAAAAGTGATCCAGTCATTTGCTTTGATCAACATCTGCAGTATGATACAAAAATTAAGAAGAAAAGAGCTGCTCACCTGGTAGTAATATGCTGGATAACACTCCCACTCAGACAAAAGTTTGGCTGAAGAGCCTAGGAGAACAGGTGAAAAGCTTTGGAAATTTTTTGAACTTGTCTCTAACAGCTCTCCAAATACCAAATACTGCCTACTCATCCATTCCCAGTGAAGAAATATTACTTCGGGAACCCCAATTAGCTTTCTGTATGCATTCTTGTGCTGACGAAACCATGTAACTGCTTCTGTGACTTTACCACTATGCAGTAACAAGGTTGATATCTTGAAATGCAATTGTTCAGCAATAATTTTTATCTCAATTAAGCGTTGCACTGCTAGCAATCTAGTTGATACCCCAACAATCTGTATGAACGGTAACATAGGCAGAGAATGCACATAATAAAACCTCACAGAAATCAATGTAACAACAAAGACACCTCTTACGAGGATTTATAATCAATGTTGAGATAAATTAGCTTATGTAAACACAAGAAATTAAAATTTAGACAAACCTCCCGCAGCGTATGATAAGCCTCCTCATAGTATTTTAATGCCTCAACCCAATCATTTCGGAACTCTGCATATACAGCAACCTAGCCATTCAAAACACCAAGATAAATAATGCACAGTTGCACAAGTTCACACAAACAAATTCAACAAAAAGACAGAGACATCAAATATCCATCTAACACGACAAAGTATCATAAATGATAAAGTCTCCTTTCTCGTTTACTTTGAAACAAACACAAATATAAACAGCATATATATGCTTAGAAGCCCCAAAAAAAATGCTCAGGGGAACTAGTGAATACGTTTTATCTGCATGCATTTGAGAATTTTGATCCAATAAAACATGAGACTTAAGAGTAAGATCACATATTTCGGACTAAAACTAATAAAATCTGTTTCAACTTGGAGATTTTCATGAAGTGTAAAGCAAGCAAGAAAATCATTGGTCCTTGACATATTAGTTGAGTGGTTACATATAAGAAACTTAGTAAAAGTGGATTCCTACTTTGAAGCAGTAACGGATGATTAACTCAACAGGGCTAACACTCTTCCTTTCTATTCGCAGCCTAATTCTTTTCCCTTCGTCACTGTAATATGTACTCGCTAATTCAGCAAATGTGTTTGCCAGCCTACACAAGAACCAAAGTTGCGCGTGATGATAATGCTGTTCATATAGGAACAATCAAAAGAGTATTTCCCCCGGAACCAAAAATGAACTTGACATGCCTGCCGATAGAATTTTTGAGCTCGGAAGAGTCGTTTGGGTTAAACATAAGAACATATTTGGAATCAACTTCAGCACGCTTTCGTAGGGCAATCATTCTATCTTCACTGATCTCTTCTGTGCCAAATAGCCAAAACATATTAGCACGCACGCTATAACAATGAATAGTAAAGAAAATAGTAATATGCTGGATTGCGTTCGTACTCGCCAAGAAAACAAAAATAAGCAAATTTGAAGTGGGTAATGTCTATAATTAAGATCCAATTGCGCCTAGGCATAATTGTTCTAAATTGTCTACGAGGGATCTGTATTATATGCGGAGAGGATGAGCAAGAGAAGAGAACAGGTAAAGATTAACTAACCCCGGGCATCCGAGCGAAGAACTACAATAGCTAATTTGATGTTTCTGGCACGAATGACGGCTCTGACCAGAAGCACGAGACAGACACATGAAGCCAAATGAAACAAGCGAAAATTTTGTGAAGGAAAAAAAAAATTATAAAAGTTGAGAAGAGAGATCCTACTTGATGGAATCGAGATCGGAGCAGACACGAAGCCACTGAGCAGGGTCACCAAAGACGTGTTGAGCAGGGAATAGAGCAGCAAGAAGGGAAGGAACCTTGGTGCGGTGCTTGAGCAACCAATGTCGCTTGACAATGCCAGGTACGGAGGATGGAGGAGAGGCGGTGGTGTTGGAGTCGGAGTCATGCTTCTTAGAGAAGAGAGAGATTTTAGATAAATCAGGCAAGGCGAGGGTGTTGATGGGTGGATTGGCAGAGAGGAGATGGGTTGAAATTAAGGCGTGAACCTCCGGGCAGCCGACCATGGATATCAATGTCACTGGCGGCGTGCGTAACTCTTCAGGGTATTCTTCCATTTTCACAGCGAAGAGACCGACCAATCTCACCCGACGCTCGCCCAAAGACTTCGCAGAGAAAGAACTGAAAGCACTCACGGAGCCACGGATCGAGCAAGGCCAGCTTCACTTCCCGGGTTCTCTAGTTAGCATAATACGGGGATCCGGATCAATCCATTGCTTGGTTAAACTGTTATCATTAAAACCGTTTAATAAAATAACCGGATTCATGAATGATTTAATTACGATTCAACGGGACACGCTTCTTCCTTGTGAGAATCATCCTAGCCCTTCCTACCCCCATATTTGCAGGAGATTCATTGACATTCCTAATATAATAGGTGCTATCACATGTATGATCATGCCCAATTCAATGAAATTGTTTGATTTTAAAAAGGACCCTCAATAATTCCACATATGAATTGTTTTCATCCGGTCATTAATAATTTAATTATTTTTTATATAATAGTAAATAGAAACAACATAAGGAGTCATCTTGAACTCATGCTCGATTCAATTATGATTTTTGACTTTTAAGCTTTGAAAACTAGTTCATTAACCAGCTTGGTCATAATACAAGTGACATTATTATTATAATTTAGAAAGATGAAAGGGACAATGACACTTAAGTCTCAAAAGAACAATTTTATTAACCTTAAAGGGAATGAAGTAGAGGGACTATCCTTGGGATTTGCCATAGTGATATGCAGTGGTGGTTGAGAACTTGGTGGAGGTGGGGATGGGCAGTGTGTGCGCCATTAAGCTTGGCAGTGCCAGTGTTCGATAATATCACCATTATAAATTCTCATAAAGGTTTAGGGACTTAGATCTATGATTATGATGGAGGTAAGTTCTTGGTTTGTTTCAATTTAGATCTTTGTGTTTCAAACACTTCTTTGTATGAGATTTACATTGGTAAGTTAGGTCAAGGCCTGTTAAAAAATAGATCATGTGATATGCTACCATGTATTTTGAAATTTGAACATTGCTTTTGAGGAACTTTCTGATTTTGAAATTATTCGATGCAGCCAAGAGAGATATTCAAACTCATTTAAAAAAATATAAAAGAAGTCAACTAAGTTGAAGAACAATAAGAAGAAAAAGGAGGCGGGTTTTCAATAATGAAAATAAGAAGAAAGGGGAAGGGGAGAGAAAATGAAGAGAAAAGTGGCTTAATAGAAATGATTTTCTAAATTTTAAAACGTGAAGTAGTGGCCATTAGTGCCAAACCAAATCCCTCTTTAATTAAAAGAGCGTTCGGGAGTTTTTTCTCTCTTGGGTTCTATGCTAAACCAGTTGTTTTTTTCTTATGGACGACTCAGGTCATTGAAAGTTGCCTCCAGACGGGCTGTGGATGATTCTCCTCCAAATTCTAAGAAGAAAAAAATTAATGGATAGTTTTGGAAATCCCATAGTGGATGACATCATGGATGAGACCATGCAAAGTATTGAAGACAACATCGGTGAAGCTCCGTTTGCCAACTCGAAAGACCAAAACAAAGGTGATGGTAAATGAAAGCAAGAGTAGAAGCAGAACTCCTATAAGGTTCTCCTATTAGGGTATAATGGTATTGCTAATGGAAGTGAAATAGTTGAAGACAAGAACTTGATCCTGGACGATGATGAATTCAATTGGACCCTTCCTGAGCCATCAAAAGAAATCCAACAGCTGAAGAACTTATACCCAGAGGTCCCTATTACTCAAGAAGAGTTTAATGAGTGGTGTAGGCCATAAAACAAGGCTTTGATCGTCACGGTTTTAGGTAAGACATTTAGTGCTTATGATATAAAAGAGTATCTGAGTGACATATGGGAGATTAAGAGCCTTGAATTAATAGACCTTCCCAACAACTATTTTGTGGTATGATTTAAAGATATCAACCAGCAGATGATGCATTATAAAAGGTTCTATACAAAGGTCCTTAGATAGTGAAGCAACATTGTATTTTGGTTCAAAGATGGATCCTTTATTTTGACCCCTTCCATAACCCTTTAGGAAGAGTTGCTACTTGGGTCAGAATTCCAAATATCCTAATGCATTGTTACAATAAGAATTTTATCTCAAGACTGGGTGAAAGAATTGGAAAACCTCTAAAAGTTGATTTGAAAACTCTTGCTGACTTCACAGCTAAAGATGTATAGATTGAATGAGGAAAATTTGCAAGACTTTGTGTGGAACTTAATCTACAGAAGAAACTTGTTCCAAGAATAATAGTTGCAAATTCTATCTTCAACGTGGTGTATGAGGGCTTCACACAGATTTGTTTTTCATGTGGAAGGTATGGGCATCGAAAGGAAAATTGCCCCTGGAGATATAAATCAAGTAGAGAAATAAGAAACTAAAATGACATGGTCAGCTCAAGTGTACTGGTACCTACTTCGATGAAAAAATACCCCGGAGCTGAGAACCTACATAAGTCATGAAACCTAATGCACCAAACTAGAAAGCCTCGGTTTGGAAGGAAGGACAAACCATTAGACCATAAACATGAACAGGGAAAGTTTGTTAGGAGATCTAGAGCAGAAAAGACATTGTCCACAGTGTCTAGGTTTAAATCTTAGAAATTTTGGAAGCTGAAGAAGGAATGGTAGAAAAATTTGGAAATTATGAGAGAGAAAGCCATATGCTTTCGATTGAGGAGAAAAAAGAAGCTGTCATTTTCAATGATAAGGAGACAAATAAAATATTGTCTCAGGAGGGTCAAGCCTCAATTTACAGGGGGAAAAGAAAGGATCAAGAAAATTTAAAGCAGAAATACTAATATGTGGGGAAAGAAAATGTCCAATCGAGTGGGCCTTTGTACGTGGGTCAGGTCCAAAAAAATATGGAGGCTAAGAAAGGAATAGAGATCAAGGCTATTGATCATTTGAGAGACGAAAAAGGGCCAAGTAAGAGGTTGTGCCAGAGAAACCATCACATGGTTAATGGAAAGTTGGAGAATATTAGTCCAATGCCTATTAGTCCTATTTCGATGTCCTCAGTGAAGCCATTTGAGACGCACATGCTAATCGATGGGAAGGAACCAACTACTCTTCAATCCCATCATAAGACTCGTGCTAGTGTCTCATGAAACTTGTAAAACCTGAAAACCCTTAAATTAATCCTGGTCAGGATGAGATTAAAAAGCAACAGCAATAAAAATGCTACTTGGAGACTGCGATATCACTGAGAATGATCTCTTAGAGTTGATCGATGATCTAATGGACTAGTTTAGGTCCCTTTGTCCTATATTGTTAAGTGGTGTCTTAATGATTGTGGCCTTATAGAATTGTTACGGTGCTGGAGGTAAGTCATTCTCTAATATCATAAAGAATTTTGTTTCTTCTTTTTCTATAGATGTTTTATGTCTTTTTGAGCCTTGAATTAGTGTGGCTAGAGCTGACAAGGAAGTTAAGAGCTTGGGCTTCTTTAATTGGCTTCGTATTGAAGTTATCGAGTTTGTTGGGGGTATATGGGTCTTGTGGAATAAGAATGTGGTCATTGTTGAGTATATATGCTCCAATAATCAACTCTTTCATTGTCATCTGTTAGAACCTAGTACTAGAGATAGTTTCTTTACTACTTTTGTTTATAGGGAAACTTGTGCGTCGAAAAGACTTTTGTTGTGGGAATCCCTTAATTCTATAGCAAGCCTTACTAGAGAGGCTTGGCTCGTTATTGGGGATTTCAACACTTTTCCAAACCCTTCAGATAAGTTTGGGAGATGTCTATCTTCCCATCACAGTATGTCTGAATTTTTAGATTGTGTTAATGCTTCTAGCCTTATAGAAATCCTTATTGTAGGTGACAAATTTACTTGGAAAAAAAAGTAAGGTTAAGGAAAAATTGGACTGGGCTTTTTGCAACTCCCTCTAGGAGGAAAAACACCACCTTTCTTAGGTCTTTCATTGCTTAAGGTTTAAATCTAATCATAAAGTTCTAGTCTTAGCCAAAGATAATCCTAGGTTGATAGGGAATAGAGCCAAAAGATTTCACTATCAGGCATCCTAATCCTTAGAGAGTAACTTTCATAATGTGGTTAAATCTCCTTGGGAAGGGAAAAATTAGCTTGAGGGGGTTAATCAATTCGGCTTAAATGAGGTTAAATGGAGTAGAGATGTGATTGGGAGTATTCTTAAGAAAAAAAGACAGATAATTAACAGGCTGGAGGGGTTAGACAAAAAAAGGAGTATTCACAATCATAGTGGTCTTTTCAAACTGGAAAGGAAACTTTAGAAGGAAAACCAAAAGATGTATGCCCAAAAGAAGATGATTTGGTTTCAAAAATCTAGGTATAAATGGCTCCAATGGGGAGATAGGAACACTAGATATTTCCATGCTATCATTAAAATCAAAAGGAAACACGACATTATCACTGCCCTTCAAGATGAAGGTGGCATATGGATTCAGGACAATTCAGTCCTAAAAAACATGGCTTGTGATTTTTTTAACCACCTCTACTCTAAAGATCCTAACATTCCTAGCTTTGTTGACTGGAATAATAAATTTTCCACCCTATCTGATAATACCCTAAACAATATACAAAGAGACGTTGGGGACATTGAGATTAAAAATGTTACCTTTAGCATGAGGGCTTTTAAGGCTGCTAGGCCTGATGGCCTATAGGCCCACTTCTTTCAATCCCAATAGGCACAGGTAAGGGTGAAAATTTGCCAATTAGTGAAACAAGTTTTCCTTGAACCTGAAAAAGCTTAGGACTTTAACCACATAAATATAGTCCTTATTCCCAAGATAGACCACCCCTCAACTTTCAAAGATTTTAAATCGATCTCTTTATGGAATGTTAGTTTTAAAGTTATCACTAAAATCATTGCTAATAGATTAAAAGGAATTCTCACTGAGCTAATTGAGCCCCATCAATGTAGCTTTATTGTGGGAAGACAAGGTAGTGATAATGTCATCATTGCCCAAAAAATCATCCATTCTATGAGATGCAAAAGAGGCCCTAAAGGATATGTTTCTATTAAGGTGGATATGGAAAAATCTTATGATAGGTTAGACTAGGGTTTGATTGAGAAAACTCTTGTTGATATTGGGTTAGGTTAAAGCTTTATTAAACTCATTATGTCTTGTGTGTCCCTTATCTCGATGAAAATTCTTTAGAATGGGGAGGAAACACAAGTGTTCATGCCTACAAGAGGGATTAGACAAGGAGATCCTTTAAGCTCCTATCTCTTTATCTTGTGTATGGAGAGG